GAAACCCAACACATAAGAGTTTTCAGGAATGTTCTACTTTTAAAAGTGGTCATTAGAGGATAATAGAAGCTGACACCATGACTCGTAGTGAGCAAACAAAGTAGAATATTAGCCTAAGGGTTTATTCGTTAACTCATCAGAAACCAGAAGAACATGTTGTGGTTGATGTTGATGCATAGAGTTTGATGGATGAATTATCCTTGTGGTGTTATGTTGGATTTATCAGATGTATTGTTTATCACATACACTTTAGTTACCACCTAACAAGAAACATTCTTTTGTAATCACTTTATGTTTCATCCTCATAAAATAGATAGTTGATGTGGAGTTCATGAATTTCGAGAACGAAATTTTATAGAGGGGAGATTGTAACAATCAGTTTTGTGAAATCGGGTAAAAAATTTTACGACTTAAAATATTGACATGACTAAGATATGTTATTTTTATTTGCACATTTAATGTCTATTTTTAATGATATTGTGTTTTAACGAAATGTATTTTTGATGTTTTTGGTCGTAGTTACAATAAATGGAGTAAGTGGAGCAAATAGAACGAAAATAAAGCAATTTGGAGTTAAAAGAAGCAAAAAGACTAAAGTTGACCTGGCGCTTAGGCACTAGACAACACAGAGACAAGCGTCAGAATTTGGCGCATAAGCACCAGAAACGGTTTTCTAGAAGATTCAATAAATGTGGACAAATTTTGAATGGTGCTTGAAGTGATTCTTAGTGATTTTGAGAGCTCTATTTAAAGAGACTTCTAGAGAGTCCAAGGGAGAGTCTTTTGGAGGAAGAGCTTTTGAGAGAGAGAGAGAGAGAGAGAGGAGCTTGGAAATTCTTAGAGGCTTGAAGGATATCCTTGGTGGCTTGCTTAGATTTGGGGGAGAAGATGAGAAGTGAGAAAAATCTTCTTCACTACAGCTCTAAGTGAGATTAGAGTGAAATTGTAAGGAAAATGAGTGATTCAAAGAAACCTAGAAGGATTGTTTGGGAAGGAGTTTGAGATAAGTTGTGCATTTTATTTAATTTACTTAATCTTATTTTGTAAACTTATATTTATCCATAAATCTATGTGTTGCTGTGTCTTCCCCATGAGATCTGAAAAGTTTCCTTTGTCTTTCTCCATGCATTTAGGAATAATTATATATATGAATAAATTTTAGTAGAAATGCTTTTAATTCCATAAATTGTGATGATTTAAACTACATGTTTAATTTACTTATCGATTTGGTCAATTGATTAGTTAAAATCTGTTGTGAAACATAATATACATGTTTAATTTACTTATCGATTTGATCAATTGATTAGTTAAAATCTGTTGTGAAACATAATGACCTGAAAGGGCTATGCTTTCCTCAACGTAGTAAGAATCACATTTAGTCTTATAGATGAGAATGTAATTCATGAGGTTAAGTGCAAATAAATAAGGAAATAAGTTTTGATGGGCATAAATTGGAGATTTTAGAGTGACAGACTAATACTTCCAATTTGATCCAGATGTTTGAAACCTAAAGCGAGACGTTAGCCTTCAGGTGAAGGGTACGTGAGAACTCTAAAGTGACAACTAGTATCTTTTCAGCCTAACCACAGGTTTAGGAGTTTAACTTTGGATTAACCAATGTTTTTTATGCACTCAAGAAAGGGTAAAGAATAGGTATGCTCTTATTTGGCACAATACATTAATTATATTAAAAATTATTAGATTCCTACATAGATTATAAGCTCATTGCAAGGGAAAAGATGTTTTATACAATTTGAACTCTTCTATATATCGTTAATTTAGAATTACTTAGTGGTAACTTTACATTTTAGCGTTTTAAATTGTCTTGCATTTGTTTAGCGTACTTAGCATTCCTTTTAAATTTAGCGTACTTAGTATTCCTTTTAAATTTTGTAGGATTAGTTAATACACAAAGTTTTCATCATTTCTTAAATAAGTTAACTGCAATTTAAAGAGAATTCTATTAAAATCAACCTATAAGAGTTTTGGCTATCCCTATGGGATCGATACTTAGAACTCTATTAGAACTCTATATTACTTAAAACGATACATATATTTGCGTAGTACCCCTAGTGTTAAATCCATTTTATCAACTTTATATAATATTTAATTTTGTAATTATTTAATCTTGCACACTAGCCGCTTAATATAAATTGGGTCAAGTTTTTTGTCATCTTTGAGAACTTAAATAATTGTGTAATTGCAGGTCGGGTCAAACATGTCCCAAATTTTGCAACCCTCAAATTTCAACAGAATCAATTTTATAAAATTTTATGCGTCAAATCGATCAATTCGATATATAATACTATAGATAAATTATGAATAGATTAAAAGATTTAAAAATTGAAAATAATAAGTTTAATTAAATTTAATTAAGCCTCCATAATCCCCTCATTGTTTCCCACCGACCTAACCAATGCGATATAAGTGTCAAATAGGGTAATTCTCTTCAGAATTCTCGAACTTCTCTCCTAACTCCTAGTTTCATCCCACATTACTCCCTTTGGGAGTTCGATTGGCTTGTCTGGAGGATCCCGCGAGCCTGGGGGCTTTCTCCGCCCGGCTACTTTCGCACGGCACAAACAGAGAAGGTCGTGTCACAACCGAGATCTGCAAGCAACGAATCCAAGCTTTAGTACAAAATCAGTAAATGCATAACTAATTTTAGCGACATTTGAGACTTTCATTTCCTTCCTTCGTACTTCCATTTTTTGTTTAACCACATTTCGTATTTCCTTCGTACATCGAACTAGTGTCGGAAGTGTCGTAAGTGGTTTGCGAGCTTCCGTATGGGCTTTAGCACAAAATCAACGGAGGAGAAGGGAAGATTGAGAAACTAAGAAGAAGAGGAAAAAGTATTGGCAGCTTCGAAGAAAGGTTGGGTAGTCGAGAAGCTGGATAAGGTACATTTAAGCTAATCATTAATGTTTTCAGTTAAATTACCTTATGAGGAAAGATATCTTGAACTTTGAAGTTATTTACAGATTTCAGGTTGTTTGCCCGAAATGATGAGTTCAAGGCAAACGTGTAAAATCTAGTCAAAGGAAGGCTTCGTAAATTTTAAATAAATAATCTTATGTTAATTCAAGAAGAATAAATCCATTAACAAAAATTACTAAAATTTGATAATTTATTTTTTTTATAGGTTATTGAGATCAACATAAAAAGTTACCAAAAATTAAGAATCTAGCATGGCAACCGATGTGGGTAATCATATTTGTAAATTTCAGTAATCTTCTTTATTTCAAAATAAATATATGACTTCATGTATATTCCAGTTTAGTTAAATTTTTCATTTTATTAGACATGACAGTTATTGATGAAAGATATCTATGAGATACATGATATGAATGATAGACATGATATGCAAGAAAAATAAAATAGGAAAGATATGCATGATATAAAAAATATACATAAGATAAGAGATATGCATGATATTAAAGATATTCAGGATATGAGATATATATGATAATTAGTTGCACAACAGAGTATGCTTGTTAGTAGATGCATGAAGATGTCTCAAAAGAATCTATGCTATGAAAAATAAAATAGCTTATATAAGAATGTTTGTATGCTCATGTTCAGACAGGGGGTTCAACCCATAATAGTATAGGCAGGGGACGCCAGTGTGTCTGCGCACGTAGAGTTTTTCTACCACCTAGATAATTGTGATGGTTAGATCACTAACTGTTATGCTGACGGAATAATATCGAACAAGGATGAGTGGACTAAAGCTTACCTCCTCAGATAATTGTGATGTTTACATTTCTAACCGTTGTGTCGACGAGATAATATATATCAGAAGGCGGGTAAGGGTCTTTCAACCCTTCACAATTGTAATGTTTATATCACTAACCACTATGTCGACAGGATAATATCGGTCAAAAATGTATTAGGTTCTGTTGACGGTAATCCTATAGAAACGGACGTGTATGTAAAGAGTATAAAGTAAAAGTAAATATAAGAAAATGCTTACAGAAGATTTAATTATTTTTCATTTAGAAAAAGTTATTAAGAGATGCATTAACATATATAAATTTCTTATACAAATATGAAAGACTAGTATATTATAAGATTTCTTATAGATAAATGAAAATCAACATGTATATGAAATTTTTTTCCTTGTGTTACTGTAGTTTATAAATGTGATTACTCACGGATTATCTTCATATAACTTATTATGTTGTTTTAATATTTTTTAGGTTTTAAGCTTTTGAATAAAATAAAAAAAGTATCAAATGAGTATAAGAGGTGAGAACAACAATCACAAATGTACATATTTCTACTTGTTAATTTTAATAGTTTTATTTAGTGGCTCTTTCATTAATTTTATTTAAATATTAAACTGTTAGTAATAGAAATAGAATGACAGAGAATTGATTTCCACAATTCGACGGTTCGTTCCTATCTTCATTAATTCCAAGCTCCGGATAGGATCATGACAGTCCAATTCACGGTACTGTAGCATTTTGTAGCACGAGTCACAAAAATGCCCAATGGGAAGCCCAACAGGAAGCCCCTGCATCACCGAACCTTCAATTATTTACATATGAAAATATGTATTTCGCTATTTAGAAGTAAAAAATGGTAGTATATTTTTTACGTCTTTTGAAAGATTTGGTTGGTATAATGAAAAAAATAAAGTTCAGGTGTTAGATATGTAAATACATAGGAATTAGGTGGTATGTATGTAAATGACCCAAAAATGGAAGAAGTGCAAATTACAAGAAATGTAAGCAGTGTAAATTACAAGAAAGAAAAGCTGCTCAAATCCTTCCAAGTTATCTTGTGCTGAATGAGATAACGCATGAGATAACATAACTTGGCCTTTCTTAGTACAAGCATTTGTTCTCTCAAGAACAAAGAAGAGAAACTATATGTGGCTTCATTAAAATTTCTGCAAATAACGTAATATGTTTATAAAAACTAAATCAAATGATGAATTTTCTACAAAAGCAAGGAAATTCACAAAAAATAATAAACATGTATTGAAAGAACACCTGAAGAGGGTCCCGGAGATCATTCACAAGAAAGATATTCAGATTATCTGCAGACCTGCCAAAAAATGGTTAGATCTAACAAGTACAAATCTTAAAAGTAAAAGAGAAACGCAAACAAATTCTAGAGTTGCAAACACAACTCACAATAACTTATGTGAGCTGCATCAAGTTTAGAGAAATAATAATTTCAAAGATAAATCGTGGAAAATGTTTCTCATATTCAATAAAAAGGTAAAAGATGAACTAATAAGAGCATGATATAATGAAAAAGGTTAGTAAAAAATGTATAAATGATAAAATATTTAAAGGTCGTGGAAAATTTTACATAAAATAGGCTTAAAACCCCATGCAATTGAGAATGAGGATTCTAAAAATAACCAGAAAAGAGTTGAAAAAAATACTTATCCAAGTTAAAGCAAACTAAAAACAATGACTCTACTGTTAGTAAAAGCATAATCAAACAAAACTAACCTTGCAATAACCACATGTTGCTTAAGGATTGCAAGAAATTCCCGAACACCCCCACTGTAGAAATAAAGTGGGGGATATGCAAGTCCTACAAAAAGCTTTCAAATATAAGATCCATGTTCAATTTTTTTTTTTTTAAACGAAACAAAACATGGAATTGAAGTAAAGGAAGAATCCAGTAACGTGAATGATACATAATCATGACCATTTCAAAAATCAGATACAACAACTCACAAATCACCAAAAAAAGATGCTGGAATCTTAAAAACAGAAACCAGCTCTAGCTAATCCAATAGACAAACTAAAAAAATTTAAGGCCAAGGCTTTGTCTAAGAAGAAATTTATCTCCGCTGCAATGATTTACTAGTAAGTGGTAATTACGAAAAATGAATTGGACAAACTTACATTGATTCCCAGGAGTTATAGAAAGGCGTATAAATTAATGTCAATTGAAAATTACATCGTAACTTTCCTTTTTTTATGAGAAAAAAACAGCAATTTACACAAAAATAAACAAAATATCACTTAAAAGTTCTCACGATAGATCACCCAAAGTTCCCAAATTAATTCCAGTGCATGCTTTTCAACAAACAGATAGGTCAAAAATCTTTCAAATTCCAAGATTTCTAATTTTAAGCATTCATGCACATTGATATGCAAACTTAAAAGGGCTTGAAAGTCTAAACCAAGTCCTCGGTTGGTACATCAATAAGGAGCCAATATATAGTTTCAAATTTCTCAAAGTTGTGAAAATCTCCATGCAACAAATGTAAAGATTTCATAAATCGCAATAGCTTATGCGTTCTTCTCTGTATCACTTACTGCTACATCAAAATCAGTGATTTAGCAAAAGAAAAAAAAATAAAAAGGGGGCCAGAAAAAGATTTAAAGACATAATGAAGTTGAACATGCCTGATGATAGAACAATAATTAGATATTGCCAACCAAGAGGAGGTGTATGTCTATGAACAGAATGTACATCACTAAAAGGTAAATATTTGATGGCGTACAATTGTCTATCTGCATAGTAATATGGAAAATTATTAGTCCAAAAAAATCTTTGCAGAGTGTAAAATATGGTCAAATTTATCAAAATTAGACAAGATAAAACAAAAAAGAAATGGTTAATGTTGAGACTTTTGTCGCTATAAAAAAGCACACCTTCTGTAAATGTTGAATTTGACAATTCCCCTATAGAGTCTCCTTTAAAAGGAATATCAATGTAAGGTACCCAGCACTGTGAATAGACCAGCACCAAATTCAGGATCCAGTGACAAATAAAGCAGGCACATTGCAAATCTGGAAAAAAAATTGCTATCTTTCCATTTTTTTTCTAAATTTAATTAGCAGCAATTCTGCCATACTCTGATCCCTTTTAGCCTTTAGACTTCCAAAATATAATATTTCCACCATTAAGAATAAGTACTCATTAAACCAGGTTAGATGGTGCTGATATTTATTAAGAAAGGTGGCTTGCAATACATTGCTGCAAGTATTTCTGATTCCTTGAAATAAATAAAATCACCAAAGCTATAAAAAGAAGATACAAGAAAGCCAATTTAGCATTTTTTACTAAATATTTGTAACGTATTTAGCGCAACCGCATCGCTCAAAAGAAGAAACAAAGCATTGGGATTTATTTCCTTACATATTCATGAAATATTCCCTTGATACAATGAATTATGCAACAAAATTATTTTGGCATGAAATAAGGCATTGGGATCCGCATTGTATGAATATGAAAAGAGGATTCTCAATTTATGTGTAAAAAAACAAACAAATTTCAATTCATGTGCAGAATCAGGTGGATTTAAGAGAGGATTCCAAATTTCTAAGCAGGTGCATGCCTGCATAAAAATAGGTTTCTCTCATATTTATTATGAGAGCATGTGAGCGGCTTGAAAAAATTAATAAGGTAAATCAACTTTGTGTTCTCCTTGGGATATCTAATAGCTAAAGAATTTTAGCTAGCAGGAGTGGCGAGAGATGATGTTTTGGCAGGCATCATGCTGGAGGCTGATATTTTGGTACAGTATAAACTTATAAGTGAGAACCTTAGAGCTGCTTTTTGTTTAGACTTGCGATATAAATCATTTATGGCTCCTTAATGGATTAGATCCTAGCCTCTCCCATAAAGATAAGCTTCATTAAGTCGAACCACATAAATTTTAACTTCTCTCGAAGTGCTTGACCTCTTCAATTTCGTTTTGCTTCTCATCTTATTTCATTCTTAGTTGTACGTTTGCATTGATTATACATTTTATTTTGATAAACTAGTACTATAATTTATTGTGGAGTATGGAGGCATGTAATTTAATGGCTCAAAGAAGTTTAACCTTAGGATAACCAAAATCCACGAACTTCTTACTCAACACGGGATTGTTAAAACGCTCATGACACAATTGGATATGCTTGTGATGATGAAATAAAGAAAACAAAACAATGACTGATGAAAACTCTCTCAATGATTTTCGGAGAGGTTAGGGCTTAAGTATGAGTCTTTATACAAAGACCAAAGGCATTTCAAAAATTTGCACCTATTAAAAAAAATGAGGACCAAGCTCTTAAGTAGGAGTCTTTATACACAGACCAAAGGAGTTTTTAATGATGAAGGTCAGGCTTTGTTATTATTGATGATGAGGACCAAGCTCTTAAAAAAAGATCACAACTATGTTGAATGAAAGAGAATAATTAACTTTAATATGTTAAAAATATTCTTATTTCAAACTATGCTATTTTTTAAGTTTGAGGGTGTAGATGAAGAAATGCAAGTTGAGGAATTGGTTAACGGAAACCTTTAAAAAACAAGCCTGTCTCAGATTAGAATATCAGTTTATCAGGAAATGAAAAATAACTTATTTATGCTATAGAAAGAAAGGGACATCAAGAGATAGTATCATGCTTTGAAGAGGAAAGAGCAATAGGCAAATAACAACCACAACAAAAACAAGTTGGCAGACGCTAATATAGCCACACATTTGACAAATATAGATCATGGTGATGATTCTTTTAGTTGTTGCAGGACTTGGATGCGATGATCATTTAGTTCTTGACATGGCTATTACAATCATGTGTTTTTATAAAGAGATGACCTTCATTTATGTGTTATGCTCTATTAGTTATATTTGCATGAGAAACAATGATGCATATAAAACTTAAAAGTTTTGACATTATACGTTCGAGAACAAATGATTGTGTGACTAGGACATTTGCAGGGGTTAGGTGTATGCCATATTTAATACATAACTTCATATATTTGAATGTTACAATGTACTTATTTTTTAACTAATAAGCTTAAGGTTCATGGGCTTTCATATCAAGAAATAAGTTGGATTATGTTTCAGAAGTTGCAACTTCAAATGAAATGCTTCATTTTTTTTTCTTTATCCATTTTAAACATCGTGTTTTAGGGAACATAAAATGTTAAAGTTTTTTTGATGCATGAAAGATTTGGAACAAAGCCGAGCACATGTCAGATGAATAAGAGAATCAATCTTGTTTTGCATCATCTATCATAGTATTATGAAATGGCATTACATTATTCAGGGTAGAGAAATAACAATTTTGGAGATACAAAAGCTCAATGACAAGTGCATGTTTAATACTGGTGGGCCCATCTTGATTTGCACATATGCCTTGAGGTCTCACAGAAGTATTTGGTTCAACTGGAATCTAGGTTAGTTCAGATCTTGCAATGCTCCAACCATTGGATTTGAAAGCTTAGAATGTTCAATTTGAGCAAATGCGCATTCAAAATTCCATATTTATAAGTCGACAATTTCTAGGGAATTGTTTATATATGAATTAGGCTTTTCTTCGTTCTCACTGATTATATCATAAGTGTTCATATTTTTATTGTCCAAATTTATTTCCTGCATAATTCTCGTGTTAGTATATCAGCAAGAGTAATTTTATTTCTTTCAATGTATTCTAAATCAAAAGTATATGCAGAAAACCACATCTGTCAAAAAAATAATCTTTTATTTGACAAATAATCTATTATTTTTTCTTTGATAAAAGAAATGGCAATTTTATTGTCTATTCTAATTAAAAAAGTTCCGTTTAAAAAAATTTCAAATTTTTAAAAGATTTTCTTTATTACTAATAATTTTTTTTAGTTAATATGATAGTTTTATTCAGTGGTAGTATGGGTTCCCGAACTATATCCACATAATAGTTTTGTATTATTGTGACGGGCTTTTAAGATGGCTCCCCAAGCGATTTCACAACTGTCAGTTTCAATGATTAGATAATCTCCCGGCATAGGTAGATGTAGTTTTGGAAGTTTTTACATATCTCTTTAATTTCACATAAAATTTTTTCCTTGTTTATCCCAATTCCAAGATATATTTTTTTCGTAATTTTTTCAGTAATGGGGCTCCTAATTCTACAAGTTTTTTTATAAAGGCTTCAACATGATTAATACATCATAAAAATTGTTGCAAGTCTTTTTAATTATTTATGTGTTTAAAATGATCTATTTTTATTAAAATATGTTCCTAAAGTTCTATGGCACCTTTATCTATGATGAGTCCTAAGAATTCGATAATCTTAGTTAGGAAAACAGCTTTTTTCATAATGTCATTCCATGTTTTTTAGCTTTTTGTGAAAATAAAGTTAAGTGTTTTATATGTTCGGTTATAGTTTAACTAAATATCAAGATATTGTCTACATATATATGACAAAATTGTGATAATTCACTAAAATATTATCCATTCTTCTTTGAAATATTTGCGGAGCATTTTTCAATCCGAAGGGTCTAACATCCCATTGGTAATGTTATTGCGGAGTACTAAAGACAGTAAATTTTCTACTATTTTGATGCATCATAATTTTTCAAAATCCAGATTTACAATCTAAATTAGAGAACCATTTGGTTGTTTTAATATTGTTGATTAATAATTCGTTAGGAGGTAAAAAATATCCATCAGATTTAGTGTTATCATTAAGTTTTTCTATAATTAATTACTAACCTTGTTTTTCCTCTAATCTACTTAGCAAGATTTCTAACGAAGAAGTTTGGTTACTGTGCGGACTATTACTAGCCCCGATTAGTTTAAGATTTAATAATTCTTGTATTTGAATTTGGAATTCTTTTTTATCTTCTTGAGTATATTTCATAGGGTGAACCCTTATAATATTTTTGTCCGAGATAATCTTGGTAAATATATGGTGATTTTAATGTTTGTAGATTTATTGGTACTAAATTTTGATCAATATGTGATCGATGAGATCCAGTATCTAATAAAATATTGCATTTTTTTCTGGAGAGATATAATAACCGGTTACTAATAATTGATTATTGTTGTATTTTTTTATACTTAGAGATGGTCTAAGAAAAATAGATCAACTTGTATTTGTATCTAGAGAATGACTTGGTTGTATTGAGAGGAATTATCATTTTCTATAAAAATTAATTTTGGATGCCTCTAGCTTCCATAATTTTTATTGTCGAAATCAAAGAAAAGATTTGAAGAGGGTGGTGTAATCTCAATTTCATTAATTTCTTCTGGTTGAATTGTTTGACCTATATGAGAAAATAGAGGGTCTAAGTGAATTGGATATGTATTTGATTTAGCTACAGTATTGTGTTGATTAATATATGCGTATGCGGTCTAATGAGTAATGTTGTAAACAGCACTGCCTTCTCTTAATTTTACCGTATCTAATTTGTATCTTAGCGTAAGGGATCTATCTAAAAGTCGATCAATGATATTAACTGCATAATTAAAATGTAAGTTAAACATTAGAGTTTGATAGCACAAGTTTCCTTGTATGACTCCTAGTAAGGCAACTTTTTTAGATGTATAATTCTGTCATCACATATCCATATAGTTATAGGACTATCAATTCCTTTTCGAAAGTATGCCTTAATTAAGATTTGAATCCCTCCAAAGAATATATGTTTATATTTTTCATGGTTTATTATTCATTCTAAATCTTGTCTTTTTAGTTGTTGGTTATATAAAGGTATAGGGGTTCTTCTTTTTGTATTTGTTATATCAATGGGATGTTCTCCCTGACAAATGGTATGTATGCTTTTCTTCCAAAGAAGTGTAGGCATATCTTCAAAAGTGAGGTCAACAATATCAAAAAAGTTTTTATTCCAAGGGATATTTTTTTCTTATTTTGTTAAAAAAGTTTTTTATTCCAAGGGATATTTTTTTCTTATTTTGTTTTTAGCTTATTCGGATAATGTAATATGTATTTCATATTCAATAGAGTTATCATTAATTA